TATATATATATATATATATATATATATATATGTATTGCCAATATGAATATCCTGATGTTGACCCAATTCCAGGGCATGACTAAAATTGTTCCTATATTTTTCAATGTATTTATTGTATGTGTATGAGTGTTCTCCCGGTAAGTGCACCACATGCATGCTGTGCCCATGGAGGCCAGAAGAGAGCACCAGATTCCCTGGAACTAGAGTTACCAACAGTTGTTAACCACCATGTGAGTGCTGGGAACTGAACCCAGGTCCTCTGCAAGAGCAGCCACTCCTATTAACCACCGAGCCATCTCTCCAGCCCCTTCCCATATTCTTTTAAGTCAGTCTTGCCAATGAGTTCCCCTACGTTCAGTAAATTTTTTCATGCAAAGGTCTTTCCACACTCCTTATATTCAGAGGACTTCTAATGCTTGTGAATTTTCAGATGTCTTGTAAGCTTACCATTTACAATAAAGGCTTTCCCACATTCTTTACATTCATAGGGTTTCAGACCTGTATGGATTCTCTGATGGGCTTTAAGAGCTGAATTAATTCTAAAAGTTTTCCCACATTCCTTACATTCATAGGGTTTCACACCAGTATGAATTCTTTGATGTGCAGAAAGGACTGAACTAAGTCTAAATGCCTTCCCACATTCCTTACACTTATAGGGTTTCTCACCAGTATGAATTCTTTTATGTTGAAGAAGGCCTGAGCTCCAACTAAAGGTCTTTCCACATTCCTTACATTGATAGGGTTTCATACCAGTATGAATTCTCTGATGTGCAGTGAAGGCTGAACTAAATCTAAAACTTTTCCCACATTTCTTACATTCATAGGGCTTTTCACCAGTATGAATTCTCTGGTGTATAGTCAGTTCAGAATTATTGCTAAAGGCCTTTCCACATTCCTTACATTCAAAAGGCTTTTCACCAGTATGAATTTTAGCATGTTGACCCAAGTTTGATTTACGATTAAAAGCCTTCCCACATTCTTTACATTGGTATGGTTTCTCACCAGTGTGAATTCTTTGATGTACTTTAAGGTCTCCACCACGAGTAAAGGATTTCCCACATTCTTTACATTCATAAGGATTCTTGCCGGTATGAAGTCTATAATGTCCAAGAAATTGGTAATGGTGTCGAAAGGCTTCCCCACATTCCTTACATTCAAAGGGTTTCTCACCAGTGTGGATTCTCTGATGAACTCTAAGACCTGTACCACGACGAAAACCCTTCCCACATTCCTTGCACTGATAGGGTTTTACATCAGTATGAACACGCTGATGTTCAGTAAGTTGGCACTGATGTCTGAAAGCTATACTACACAGCTTACACTTAAAAGGTTTCTCACCAGTGTGAGTTTTCTGATGTTGAGAAAGCTGCAGGTGAAGCCTAAAAGCCTTCCCACATAGATTACATTCATAGGGTTTCTCTCCAGTATGAATACTCTGGTGTTGCACAAGGTTTGAGCCACTACTGAAAGTCTTCCCACACTGCTTACATTCAAATGGTTTCTCTCCAGCATGAATGTTCTGATGCCGAGTAAGCTGTGTTAGAAGAGTGAAAGCCTTTCCACATTCCCTACACTGAAAGGGTTTCTCACCAGTATGAGTTCTGTGATGTTCAATAAGTCGATAATGACATCTAAATGCTTTCCCACATTCCTTACATACAAATGGTTTCTCACCAGAGTGAATTTTCTGATGCTGCATGAGGTTTGAGCCACGACTAAAGGCTTTCCCACATACATTACATTCATATGGTTTCATACCAGCATGAATACTACTGTGTTGAACAAGGTTGGAGACTCGGTTAAAGGACTTCCCACATTCCTTGCATTCAAACAGCTTTTCACCTGTATGGATATTCTTATGGCAATTAAGCAGGGTGGGAAGATGAAAAGCCTTTCCACATTCCTTACATTCAAAAGGCCTCTCACCACTATGGAATTTCTGATGTCGAAGAAGTTGTATATTAAGTCTAAAGGCCTTCCCACATTCCTTACAGTCAAAGGGTCTCTTCCCAGTATGAATACTCTGATGTTGAATAAGATTTGAACCACGACGAAAAAATTTCCCACATTCCTTGCATTCATAGGGCTTCACACCAGTATGGATTCGCTGATGTTCAAGAAGTCCATACTGATGCCTGAAGGCTGTCCCACACTGCTTGCATTCAAAAGGTTTCTCACCAGTATGAGTTTTCTGATGCCTAGAAAGTTGTTTGTAAAGTCTAAAGAACTTTCCACATTGCTTACATTCATAGGGTTTCTCACCAGTATGAATACTCTGGTGTTGAACAAGGTTTGAGCCACGACTGAAGGTTTTCCCACATTGCTTACATTCAAATGGTTTCTCACCAGTATGAATGGTATGATGTTGAGTAAACTGAGTCAGAAGATTGGCAGCCTTTCCACATTCATTTTCAAAAAGTTTTTCACCAGCATGTATTTGGCAATGTTCAATAAGTTCACAATATTTGAAGCCCTTCCCACATTCCTTACATACAAAAAGTTTCTCACCAGAATGAATTTTCTGATGTTGAATGAGATTTGAACCTCGATTGAAGGTTTTCCCACATTCACTGCATTCATATGGTTTCACACCAGCATGAATACTCTGATGTTGAGCAAGATTTGAGATACGATTAAAGGATTTCCCACACTCCTTGCATTCAAATGGTTTTTCACCTGTATGAATGTTCTTATGCCGATTGAGAAGGGTGGGAAGATGAAAGGCCTTTCCACACTCTTTACATTCAAAGGGTCTCTCACCACTGTGAGATTTCTGATGTCTTGTAAGTTGTTTGTGAAGTCTAAAGGCCTTCCCACATTCTTTACATTCATAAGGTTTCTCTCCAGTATGAATACTTTGATGCTGAATAAGATTTGAACTACAACCAAAGTACTTGCCACACTCCTTGCATTCATATGGTTTGTCTATATTGTGAACAGGAGTATCGCAGCTGTAAGTAGGTATTCTTCCCTTGCTATTAATCTTTTGATCCACATATCCTTCTTGACACCCTTGTAGACCCTCGAATACAGCATACTTTAGGCCATCACTAAAACTGGAGGCCTTCAGGTCAGGAGTTTTACTTCTTTGCTTTATACTGTGCTTGGGTAAATTTATCTTACAAATATGATTTTCTGGAGATATTGTCTTGGCTTCATAATCTGACTCCGAATCTGAAAGAAAAGGAGAAAGCAAGAAGAGTTTATTTTCCTATAATACATACACATACAAAAATCCATTAAATAAATAACCCAATTCTAAAGTATTTTCTGAGAAATTGAACAAGAATAAGAAGAGAACCAATAATGAAGATTCACATAAGATGATACTTTTAATAGGGGAGGAGGTTGGGTATGGGAAAGCAAATTTGGTTAATAAAGATTATAATAAACTATGCAAAGATAATCTTATGTGGTTCTTTATATACCACAGGAACTAGACACCCTTTGATGAAGGTTTCTGAACCCAATCATGAGGAAAAAAATTATAGAACACAAATCCATAATGTTGGTAGCCAATGCATTTAGTCCCAGCACTGGAGACACAGGCGGGAGGATCTCTGTCTACATGAGTTCCAGATGGGTCAAGACCACATAGATCCTGCCTCAAAAAAAAAAAAAAAAAAAAAAAAAAAAAGAGAGAACTTTACATTTTTTAATTTTATTTTATGTGTATGAGTATTTTGTCTGCATGCACGTAAGTGCACCCATGTCATGCAATGCCCCATGGAGGCCAGAAGAGGGCATCAGATCCCCTGGAACTAGAGTTATGGACAGTTACTAGCCTCCATGAGGGTGCTAGGATCCTAACCCAGGTCTTCTGCAAGAGCATCAAGTGCTCTTACCTACTGAGCTGTCTCTCCAACCCAAGAATTCATTAGATTTTTTGAAAAAGATTAAGGAAATCTAATAAGTCAATTCAAGAAATTTGATACTAAAATGCCCAGAAAACTAAAGCCAAACCAAAAAAAAAAATCACTTAAAAATGAGGAAAAAAATCACTTAAAAATGAGGAAAAAAAACCCTTAAATACTTTTAGATAATACTGCTGAACTGATCATTTTCTTAATATCACAACGACAGGTTGTTTAGATTAATTAGGATTAATGGAAGGTTATTTAGGATAATGTGCTATTAGGAAAAGCATGAAGCACTTAGTATCAAGTGTTCTATTAGTGACTTACCGTCAAAGGGTTCAACAAAATTTGTTTAAAACATGTAGTTATAGCTTAAATATAGCACTTATGGCAAAATGTTATCAATTGGTAAATTTAGATGTCAAGAGGTTTGTGTTGTTTTATTGTGTTGTTGTTTTAACGTGTTGTTCTTTAAGATTGGTCTCAAGTAGCCTAACCTGGCCTCAAACTCAGTATGTAGCCAAGGATGATCTCAAATTTCTGATCCTCCTGCCTCTAACTCCCAAGGACTGGGTTACAGGTATGTGGCATTATGGTGAGCTAGGTAGAAGGTTGTGTATGAGTATACGTGTATACATGTTTGTGGACATGTGTGCTTGTGGAAGCCAGAGGACAACCTCGATTGTTGTTTTTCAGGCTCTATGCATCTTTTCTTTTTTGAGTCAGGGTCTCTCACTGACCTGGAGCTTGTCAAGTAGACTAGGCTGTCTGGCCAGCAAGCTCCAAGGACCTACCTATCTCCATTTTCCCAACACTGGAATCACAAGTATGCACCACCCAACCTGCCTTCCTACTAGCAACATAGACTAGGCTGGCCTTGAACTCAAAGAGATCCACCTGACTCTGCCTCACTTTCCTCCCAAGTCATGTGCCATGATTCCACCTGCCTTTTTTAAGGTGGGTTCTGGGGCTGGAAACATGGCCCAGCAGTTAAGAACTCTGGCTGTTTTGCAGGAGACCCAGGTTTAGTTCCCAGCACCCACATGGTGGCTAACAACCACCCAAAACTCCAATTCTAGAGGAATCCAATGCCCTCTTCTGACCTCCATAGGCACTGCACAACACAGGTGCACATCACATATACAGACAATACATTCATACACATAAAATAAAAATAATATAAATTAAAAAAAATATTGTGGGTTCTGAGGATCAAACTCAAGCCCTCATGCTTAGAAGGCAAGCATATTACCAACTATCTCCCCACCTTAGGTAACTTTTTTTCTTTTTTTGGTCTTTTTGAGACAGGGTCTCTCTGTAGCCCCAGCTGTCCTGGAACTCACTCTGTAGACCAGGCTGGCCTTGAACTCACAGGGATCCGCCTTCCTCTGCCTCCCCACTGCTGGAATTAAAAGGCATGCGCCACCATGCGCACCTTTAGGTAACCATTATAAATGAAATTATTATTTTTGCCAGGCACGGTAATCCCAGCACTCAGGAGGTTTAAGCAGGATTGCCATTACACAGCAAGTTCAAGGCTAGTCTGGCCTATGGAGTGAGACCTCACTCTCAAAAAGTAATCTTTTAATTTTTCCTTAAGTTTGAACATTTTCAATATAAAAACATGAGAAAGCCAGACATGGTGGCACATGGTGGCCTTTAATCCTAGCACTTGGGAGGCAGAGGTAGGCAGATCTCTGTGAGATTGAGGTCAGCCTGGTCTACATAGTGAGTTCCAGGCCAGCTGTGGCTACATGGAGACCCTGTTTCAAAAAGACAAAAAATAAAATAAAATAAAAACATGAGAAAAAGAAAGTATATTTGACTCCGAGAAATAATCAAAAAATTAAAAAGTACATTGATGACTCCAAAAGGGCAGTGGCTCTAGTGGTTATGGGGATTCCTTTCTTAGGTGATGAAAATGCTAAAATTTTGATTGTTGAAAGGACAGCTCAATTCTGCAATCATGCTACAAATCACTGATCTGAACATTTTGAATGGATGCATTTTATGGTATGTGAATTACTCAACAGCTACATTTACTGAAAAAGAATGAGCACAAAATGTCATCAACATACACTCAAGGAATACCATTTCCTAACAATCTTTACTTGAGTTTGAGAGACCTGAGTGACTCCATCTTGGATAAAACCTCCATGGGACTGACCCAGCCCTGAACCCTGTTCCAGGAAAAACCACAAAAAAGTATACCTGGAACAGATAGAGAACAACTCCCCCGCCAACAGTCAATTAACCAGGGACAGGAAAGTACTAAAAGTCCAGATGTCTCTTCAGATTTCCTGAAGCCAGCAGTTTATAGTTTGGCACTGGGCTGCAACCAATCAGATGCTTGCCAGGCTGGAGACCCCCTACTCCCCTACTTGCTGAACTTGCTGAAATAAACCTATAAAAACCTCTGTCTCCCAAAACAAGGGGTCTCACATCTGAGATCTGCTGGGTTGGTGGCAGAGTGGGCCCAAGCGTAAGCTTGTAACAATAAAAAAAAACACGTGTGTCTGCATCAGTCAGCTCCTTGGTGGTCTTTGAGGGTCTCGTGAACTGCGTACAACATCTTGGGGGCTCCTCCGGGATCCCCAAGACCCCCAGGACCCCCAAACCAGAGGGTTCTTGGCCGGCTGATACGTGTCTGTTTCTAGTTGTGCCTGTCTGTGTCTGTCCCAGCTTCTGTTCTGAGCCTCAAGGCAAACTTGTGAACAGTGTGGTCAGGGGCGGTTGGAGCGGACACGCTGGATGACAGTGACCACAGAGGTCTGGAAAACATTCCAGATCCTGGCAGAGAGGACGGAGGGCCCCAGACTCTGTTGATTTCTGTGAAAGGACAAGGCGGGTCGCTTCCACGGCACTGCAGTTCGCTGCTGTCCTACTTTCAGTTTTCTTAGTATGAGCGAGGGGATTTGTTACTTGGCCTTCTGTGTGTCTTTCTGGCTCTGTTTTGTCTTTGGTTGTCTATTTCTCTGTGACTGAGATGGACGCAATGGGACAGACTCCCTCTACACCCCTGGACCTGGTCTTGCACATTTTGAAGAGGTTAAGACTCGAGCCCATAACCTCTCTGTTGTTGTCAGGAAGGATAAACTAACTACTTTCTGCAGGTCTGAATGGCCCACTTTCAATGTGGGATGGCCCTTGAAGGGACCTTTGATCCTGCTGTCAACACAGTTGAGAAAATTATTCTTCAACCACGTGTAGGACACTTGGATCAAATATCATACATAGTGGTCGGGGGGGATTTAATTAATAACCCCCCTCCTTGGGTCAAGTCTTTTCTTCCTTTACAGAAAACTGAGGTGCTGACAGCTGCAGAATGGAAAATGACAACCCAGAAAGCACCTAAACCTGAAACCAAACCATCAGTACCGACACTGTACCCTGTCTTACAGGGCAGCACAGAAGAAGATCTAATTTTTCTTCCCCCTCCTTATCCACCTCCTCCACAGGAGGTACCTGCTCCAGAACCAGCACGTCCGGCACCCCTGGTACCAGATTCTTCACAGGCACAGGGGGGACTGGCTCAGGGGACTAGGAGTAGAAGGGCAGCAACACCGGAGGGGTCCAGACTCTGCTGTTCTACCCCTCAGAGTCGCTGGCCCCATGGATGAGGCCAGCAACCAGCCCCATCACTATTGGCCATTCGCCACTAGTGACCTTTACAACTGGAGAACCCAGAATGTTCCCTTTTCTGAAAATCCTAAGGAGCTTATTAATTTATTAGAAACTGTCTTATTCACACACCAACCCACTTGGGATGATTGTCATCAATTATTACAGGTCCTGTTTACCACAGAGGAAAGGGAACATATCCAAACAGAAGCCAGGAAGTTAATTCCTGGCAATACTGGTGTCCCTACTACTGACCCGACACTGATTGGTGCTGCCTATCCACTGACCCGGCCTGATTGGGATTATAATACTGCAGAAGGTAAGGGGAGGCTTCTGGTTTACCACCAGGCTCTGCTGGCAGGTCTCAAATTGGCTGCTCATAGGCCAACTAATTTGGCAAAGGTATACGATATTAGTCAGGAACTAAATGAAAGCCCAGTTGCTTTCTTGGAGGGCATAATGGATGCCTTCCACAAGTACACTCCATTAGACAATATAGTGGCAGTGGCCATGGCTTTCGTTAACCAGTCAGCTCTGGCTATTAAAAAAAGCTCCAAAGAGTAGAGAGACTGGGTGAAAAGAGCTTAAGGGATTTAATAACCGTGGCCAAGAAAGTGTACAACAATAGGGATAGTGCAGAGGAAAAAAAGATTAAGTCAGAAGGGAGGCAGAACAAGGACCTGACAAGGATCCTGC